ACCATGCACAACATCAAAAGCTTTGCGTCGGAGACTTGTCGGAATGTAGGGTCTGATGCGATCTGAAGAGATATCACAGAGGACGTTGGCGTTTTCAATAACAAGCTGTTGCAGATTGAGCGATGATTCTTGTGGCGTATCTTGGTCTTCAAGCTGTGCGGCTTCGATGGCTTTAGGAGACAGTGACGTTGGCATGGAGATAGCGTTAATACGAGACAGGGCGTCAGCAACGGCGTTGTGTTCTCCCTTGACATAGACGATTTCTGTGCTGAATTGTGAAATAAAGTCCAGTTGATGGAGCTGTCTGGGGGATGCTTTTTCAGCGCGCTGAGCAAAGGCGTATACCAGTGGGCGATGATCAGTTTTGATGATGAACTGGCGTCCTTCCAGCTGGTGACGAAAGAACTTTATTGCAGCGAAAATCGCTAGCAGCTCGCGATCGTAGGTGCTGTATCGCGTTTCGGTGGGACTCAACTTGCGGGAAAAAAAACCTATGGGCTTCCAGCAGTCGTCGATCAGCTGTTCAAGTGCAGCTCCAATGGCGAAGTCCGAGGCATCAGTGACGAGTGCGAGACTTGCAGAGGGTGAGATGAAGCTGTTACAAGTCGCTTCGACAATGCTTTCTACACAGTCTTGGTAGGCCTTCTCTGAGCTGGGTGTCCAAGGGATGGGCCGTTTGTCTTTTTTCTTGGCACCCTTCATAAATGCATTGAGAGGGGCTTGAAGTTCAGCGGCCTTTGGAATACAGCGACGGTAATAATTGAGCATTCCCAAAAACTTACGAAGGTCAGAGATGGTCTCTGGCTTGGGGTAAGAAGCGATGGCTTGGATCTTGGAATCAGGTGGTTTGTATCCGAGCTTGTTGATGGAGTAGCCGAGGTACATAACTTCTGACTTGTTGATTTGGCACTTGCTGAGGTTGATAGTGAGTTTGTTCTCACGCAGTACATTAAAGATTTTGCGTAGATGTTGCAGGTGTTCCTCATGGGAATCCGAGAACACTATCAAGTCATCAATGTAGCATGCTGCGAAGTCAATACCACGGAGAAGGTTGTCCATATGACGTTGAAATGTCTGAGTGGCATTGCGCAGGCCTGGAGGCATACCCAGAAACTCAAAAAGCCCAAAAGGAGTAGTTATCGCTGTTTTGGGTATGTCCTCTGGTGCTACAGGAATTTGGTGGTAAGCTCGAACCAGGTCAATGACAGTGAAGACACTTTTCCCATGCAGCCGCTGAAAGATGTCTTCTGGTAGTGGTATGGGGTACCGATCTGGCACAGTCTGGGAATTGAGCCTCCTAAAATCACCTGTGGAACGCCATCCACCTTGCTTTTTCTGGACCATGTGTAGAGGACTGGCCCATGGACTGCTGGAGGGACGGATAACAGCATGATGCAACAGGAGGTCGAAATCCTCTTTAGCAATCTTTAGTTTCTCTGAGTTTAGCCGACGTGGACGGTCATTGACTGGCGGTCCAGTGGTGACTATGTGGTGATGAGTTCCTGTAGGGGCGTCCACTGATGGGGCTGACCTTGGACGGGTGATGTCAATAAACTCTTCCAGCAACTTGCTATAGGGTTGACTGAGTGTAGGAGGTGCATATTCTGCATTATTGACAGTGGAAACAGTATGAAGTTCGGTTTCATGCATTTCAGCAGGAGAAGACAGTGAGGTGAGAGAGTCCAGAAGGCGCTTGTGCCTTAAATCAGGAAGGAGGCCATGATGTGAAAGCAGGTCGGCACCTATGATTGCTGATTTGACGTCTGCAATGATAAATGCCCACTTGAAGGATCTGCGGAGTCCAAAATTGAGGTTAAGAAAGTGTTGACCATACGTTTTGATAACTGTTGCATTGGCTGCATATAGCATGAGGTCAGCAGGCAGAAGTTTTCGTTGAAAGAAGCTTCTTGGAATCAAGGATACAACGGAACCACTGTCGATAAGGAACTTCATGCCAGTGACCTTGTCTATGACGTGCAGGCGACTTTCTTTAGATGGGAGGCAGGTGCTGTTGACATTGCTGTCGCTTACCACCTGAACAGGCGACAGCATATTTAGTTTTCCTGGCGCGGAGATGCTAGTGGCAGCTGAGACACATTTTTGGGCCCGGGCACCGAATTTTCGATGATATCGGCATTCTCCAGAAGTGACAGAACGCTCACGTGGTTGTCGACTGGTAGAGGTGAGACTCTGTCTGATGGCAGAAGTGAGGTCCTTCTGAGCAATGGTTAGTTCTGTGATGGCTTGTCTGAGTTCGTTCAGCTCGGAGGCTACTGAAGAACCATGTCCATGCTGGCGAGAGCTCTGGTTGGCGGCCATGACACTGCCACCAGGGATGTTTGTCATGAGCTCATCAGCTGCAGCAGCTAGTTCGTTAAGTGAATTGGCCTTGAAAATTTTCAGCAAGTGCTGAATGCTGACAGGCAGAAGGGCCAGCCATCGTATGCGGAGCACGTCTTCTGTAGCACGATTGCCGGCAAGGGCTCGCATTTCACGAAGCAACTGTGAGGGTTTTCGGTCACCTAGTTCTAGATCAGTGAGCAGTTTGTGCATCTGAGAGTCTTCGGAGGCTGTTAGTCTACTTATTAGGTTAGACTTGAGATTTTGGTACTTATCTTGAGGTGGTGGAGCCTTCAAGATGTCTGCAACTTCCGTGATTGTGTCCGGGTCCAGTGATTTTACCAATTGATAGTACTTGGTGCTATCGGACTGTATACGGTGGGCTTGAAAGACTGATTCAATCTGCAGGAACCATAGGTCTGGATGAGAACGCCAAAAGGGTGGCAGATTGCAGTTGTAAACTGCGTCAATGGCATAACTCTGCTGCTGGTTGAGCATCATGGGGGCTGGCAACGAATTTACTACTGGTTGGGCATATGCTTGCTGATAGCTCACCGGGTGATTTGTTGGATTAAAATGCACCGCGGGATCAAATGCTGTACTGCCGTGAGGGCCAGAAGGTTGAGGCATAGGAATACTCACTGACGAACTCCTGTCTGGTTGCTGGTTGGTAAAAGAGCTGTTTGCAGCCAATTGCTGATCAGGATCTACTGAGGAGTCGAAATTGCTTTGCATCTTGATTTTTTTAGTAGTCAGACACGTCTTTTAGGTTAGAGGCCGAGTGGTACGCGGAGATATATCACGTCGGGGTCACCAGTTATAGCTACTACTGCTATGTGTTTGCTTGATATATCACCAGCGAATGAAAACACTGTTTTACTAATAACTCGGTTTAATTCTGGGCACTGAACATACAAATAAATCGAAATACTTTATTTTGTTAACAACAACAACACGATATCATAATTGCGCGGCAACAAGCTGACTAGAAGTAAACAACAACCTGGGACAGCTGTCTTCTGTCACGTCACGTCAGGCCGCCAGTTATGATATTCCTATCACTAACCTTGTGTTCGATATTTTGCTCAAAGTGTAGAGCGAGCTGAGCGGAGCCGTAATCACGTGACCAGCGAGCGAACGGAGCAGTTGAACGCCGTATAAAAGTACCGGAAATTTTAATAAACGAACGCGAATGAGGCTGCACCGAGTACACTTTTTAAATAAACGAACGGTAAAGTCAAGCTCGGAGAACTCAGACCAAAATAACGAACGCACGGCTACTATCCAGATAAAATGTGACTCAAAACCTTTATTTTGGCCTATAAACTATACAATTTTGGCACGTCCTACGATGTGTTTATAATAATGTTGTAATTTAATTTCTTATACGTGATACAAACTTTGGTGACACGACCATAGTTGTATTCCTTTCAAGAGCTTGAAACACTCGAGCTACTCGCTTCGGTGCTTAGTCGCCCCCGATTTGCAGGGAACATATGCGTGGTGCAACAAAAACTTTTCGAAAGGAATAAGCGCGTGAAGCCCCGGAGCTGTTCCGGGGCTCCTCCTAGGTGTGAAAGGAAATACATATTGATGAGTACCTAATTCTCCGTCAAAACAAAATAGAAAGTCTTTTTGAAAATTGAAGGCCTGTTGTGTGTAAATCAAACGAAGACAAAATAAAGACGATGAAAATAATTATTATTGAAACAATTTTGAAAAATGTATAACTGAAAATATAAAATATAAAATATAATTAGTAATACAATTTATATACCTAGGTACCTACTTAATTTAGTTCCCATGTATTTTCATCACAAATAATTTATTTTTATATAGGTATACCACATTTTCGTTTATCATTCTAGTATTTTTATAAACATTTTTATAATTGTTTGTTGTAAACGATAATGGATTACATTATATAAAAATTGATAAACACATTGGGTATCATGCATTAAATAATGTGTCATGAATTTATCATTTTTCCACTGCATGTATGGGCATTGATTAGGTAACCTATATTTAAAAAAAAATAGAATTTAATTTAGAGAAAGTTTTGCAAAAGAAGATAGAAAAAATTCCATACTATTCCTAGAACAATCTAAAAATAAATAATGTAGTAGGTATTTTATTAACTCTCATAAATTAAGTGTCGAATTTGGCAAAAGACCAAAATATCTTTCGATATGTAATCATTGACAATAATATGGCAGCTGAAAATGTATGTCCAGGATCAGTTCAATAAAATCAATTAAAAACAAATTTCACTCTAACAGGTCAATAGTCTCTTTAATCAAGTACGTACTAACTGTTATGAGTTTCAATTGTTTCAATTGAAATCTTTCTGCGCTTTATTTGTATAGTAGCCGACATAATTATGCTAGTAAAAATAATGGCTATTTTGGTTATTTTTAATATGAATAGCGTTACCCACAGCAAACGAAACAAGAGTATTTTTGAAAAATCATGTTTTATCACGCAAAAAGGTTTAACTATTGAAATAACCAAAAGATCATAAAGCGCAAAATTGACGTCGCTTATTTCTCAGCAAATATGGAATAAAATTAAGGGAAGGTGATTTCAATATTAACGATAGACACAAAGAGATATGAAAAACCAAATACAAATTCTATGAACCCCTTTTTGATATTTTTCAGAGGACCTACTATCTCTCCTTGGAATTTTACATGGGCAGGTCCCTATCCAATACCATGATCAATTTGGGCCTTCAAACTTCATGCGATGAAGCTCTATACCAGCTGGGTTTGGACATTGAGGAATTAGAAGAAATGGAAGAGGACGCTGGTCTTGGTAACGGCGGTCTTGGACGATTGGCTGCTTGCTTCTTGGATTCTATGGCAACTTTAGGTAAGAATATTCATCATAATCAAATACATATTGTTGAAAATAACTTGATCCTGAATCCTTGTTTATTGATTAAACAAAATTCTTAACATTTATGGCATTCAGGATGGCAATACCAATCATTGAAACTTGTGAATTATTTGTACATCATAAAGTTTCTGAATATTCCATACTTGCAAATATGGATTAGTCGGAAATTTATCGGTCTTTACTTGCTTTATCAAATTATCACCTAAGCTCATTGATTGCTCAAATTTTCTGGGAAAAAATTACGTTGAGCATAAGTCGGTGACCGTCAATGTGACCATAACTTGTTCCATCCATATTAGACATTATTTAACAAATTATAGTAAAACATCTCAACCATAAATGCATTTTGTATATTATCTATGTGAGAATATGGTATATGTTTGATATGAGATGGTTATCTTTCCAAAAATGTATGAAAGATCCTACTACTTAGGAAGATTGATATAGGTACCTACCTTTTTGTTGTAGATATGTATTTCAGTATCTTTTCTTTTGTTGATGACTATTTTGTGGATGAAGTTTTTATTTTTGCCTTGTACTAAGCATATAATAAATTGAGCCACAACAGCACTTACACAGTTCTTCAATAAGTTTGTATTACACCACAGTCTCCAAATGCTTACTAAATCTCTCTTCTGACTGTTACGATTTATTTTACTTACTTCCTCTACTACTCCCATATTTTCTCTGCATTGCTCATTTTTTTAATTGTCTTTTTCTAATAGGTATGCCTGCTTATGGATATGGTATCAGGTATGAATATGGTATCTTTGCCCAAAGAGTCATTAACGGAGAACAACAAGAAGAACCTGATGATTGGCTACGTTTTGGCAACCCCTGGGAAAAAGCTAGGCCCGAATATATGCTACCTGTTAACTTTTATGGCAAGTAGACTTTATGATAATAATAATTTGTTTACCAGTTATCAAAATCATTGGATAGGAATGCATTGTTTTAATTTGAATGTAATTCTCTAGGCAACGTCATTGAAACCCCTGAAGGCACCAAAAAATGGGTCAACACTCAAGTTGTGTTCGCTCTACCCTACGACAACCCAATTCCCGGTTACAAAAACAACGTTGTCAACACATTGAGGTTGTGGAGCGCAAAAAGTCCTGTCGATTTTGACTTGAAATTCTGTAAGACTAAAAACCTACATGATTTCTTACTAATAATATTGTATTTTTTTAGTTAACGATGGTGATTATATCCAGGCCGTCCTTGATAGAAATCTGGCAGAAAACATCTCCAGAGTGCTCTATCCCAATGATAACTTTTTCGAAGGCAAAGAGTTGCGTCTTAAACAAGAATACTTTATGGTAGCTGCCACATTACAAGACATTATTCGGAGGTTTAAATCGGCCAAATTTGGAACTAAAGCTACTACTAGAAATAACTTTGATCAATTCCCAGATAAGGTAGCTACATAATTTTTCTCACAAATTAGCGTTGAGGTGATCTTTTTACACTTCTCTTGGTAACGTCTACAAATTTAAGTTAAATCAGAAAAAAGTTGCCACTCTTATAGGCCTATCTTGCTATAGTTACAGTGTATTCTAACATTTTTTAGTTTCCGAGATATTGAAAAAAATACTCAGAATTCCTCAAAACATACCTACCTATAACTTTCTTTAACAATAATTTTGAATTGTAACAGAGTAACTACAAAAATTTAGGTTTGAATATTAACTGCAAAGTAAAAGATTGGGTTTAATTAACTCACTTGAATGTAATAAAAATGCATGTTAGACAAAATAATTATGATCATATAAGGTGATGAACCTCGCCACTTTGGGTGCATTAAGCTGGTGGCTGAAATATGGGTTACATATCTCATGTCTTATGGGTTCTAGGGGACTGTATCTATTTTTTTGAAAATGTGGTATGTTGTAGACTGTAATACTAGCAAAAGTAAGTATTTTTCATCATTGCACCAAATCTCTAACTACACAAGGTGACCCAGTAAAGTAGGTCCGAAAATCATAAAACAAGCCTTTTAATTATGGATGTTGACGCGCCCTGCAAGCGACATATCGGGATTTTCCTTTTCAATTTCGCAAATAAATAGTCTAAATAAGCCTAATATTCTATAAAGGGTGGCTAAGCTTGCGTATTCTTTAAGAAATCCTGCCCTATTCTTGGAAATAGTGTTACCAAAAAGGTCGCGCTGGATTTTATTTGCCCGTAACTTTTTCAATTTTTGTTCGATTTGGAAAAATGAGGTCTTGAAATAAAGCTTATATCAGAGGGATGTCATGAAATCTAAGCAAATGACAAATGTGATTAAATTCGAGATGGCGGAAAGTGATAAAATTATAACTTTTCATTCGATTGTGGATTCTCACGAACATTAAACATGCATTAAACCCAGTTTGAAATTGAAAACAGGACCCAAAAGGGTGATGTTAAGAGTAATTACCTAATCACAATTCATCAGTTGTCACAATTCCTAAAAATCGGTACTTATATGAGATAATCGCATATATTTAGTGTGAGATAATGGGTTACTAATTTCCGGTAGTTTCGAAATGTAGTATAATATCTACTTCGTTTTGAAGTGAATACTACGTAGAACATACTAATACTTGTAGTAGTAGCAAGTACTTCGTTTTTATTCATACCACCCAATATCGCACAGGTGAATTATTATTATTTGATAATCAAAAGCTTGTTTTATGATTTTCGGACCCACTTTACTGGGTCACCCTGTATAGTTAGAAATTTGGTGCAATGATGAAAAATGATTATTTCTGCTAGTACTACAACATACCAAATTTGAAAAAAAAAAAACGAACGCTTCCCAAAAACCCATAAGATGTATGCGATGTCCTTTGCCCTAAATGTGCATCCTTTTGCCTTTTTCTATCGAAATATCAAGCGAAACTATCCAAATTAAGTGTAAAAGAGCACTTTACCAGCATTTTCCGTGTTTTCTCACTTCTTTTCAATCAAAATCTATCTAACGTAGTTTCAGGATTTCTAAATTTACTTCAATTCACTTCTAAAATCAACAGAAATATTCCAGAATTTCTTGATTAATTGGAAATTCCTTCTACAGGTAGCCATTCAACTTAACGACACTCACCCATCTCTAGCTATTCCAGAACTGATGAGGTTATTGGTCGATGTTGAAGGCTTATCATGGGAAAAAGCCTGGGAAATTACTTGCAAAACTTGCGCCTACACCAACCACACCGTAAGTACTGCAAATAATAATTATTGTTTCATAAATAATCAAAAATTGTTTCATACGTCAGGTTCTTCCTGAAGCTCTAGAACGTTGGCCAACAAGTTTACTCCAAAACATCTTGCCAAGACATTTGGACATCATCTACAGAATCAACCATCATCATTTGGAAAATGTTGCCAAAAGATGGCCTGGTGACATGGACAAAATGAAGAGAATGTCTTTGATTGAAGAAGATGGTGAAAAGCGAGTCAATATGGCTAATTTGAGTATCGTGGGCAGTCATGCTGTTAATGGCGTGGCTAGGATTCATTCTGAAATTATCAAGAAAGATTTGTAGGTTTTTTAATATTTTTTCGCTACAGGGTTTACAGCTGCTAATAAGTTATTTCAAATGCTAATAACTCTTTGAACAATTATTACCTTACAGGATAATAATAAATTGATGGGTTGAAAAATTCAACTTATTTAATTTTTTTCAGGTTCAGAGATTTCTATGAATTGACTCCGGAAAAATTCCAAAACAAAACCAACGGCATCACTCCACGCAGATGGTTGCTGCTGTGCAACCCCGGACTGAGTGATGCCATCTCTGACCGTATCGGCGAAGAGTGGATTGTCCATTTAGACCAACTACAAAAACTCAAACCTTTTGCCAAAGACCCCAACTTTCAAAGGATCGTTATGAAAGTCAAACAAGAAAACAAATTAAGACTTGCTCAGCTTTTGGAAAAAGATTACGGTGTGAAGGTCAACCCAGCTTCAATGTTCGATATTCATGTCAAGCGTATTCATGAATACAAGAGGCAACTTCTCAATGTTCTCCACATTATTACCCTTTACAACAGAATCAAGAAAAATCCTTCAGCTAAATTCGTTCCGAGAACTGTTATGATTGGAGGTAAAGCAGCTCCTGGTTACTACACTGCCAAAAAAATTATTAAACTAATCAATTATGTTGGAAACGTGGTTAACAACGACCCCATTGTTGGTGACAAGCTTAAAGTTATTTTCTTGGAAAACTACAGAGTAACATTGGCGGAAAAGATCATTCCTGCTGCAGATCTGAGTGAGCAAATCTCTACGGCCGGTACAGAAGCGTCCGGAACTGGAAACATGAAGTTCCAATTGAACGGAGCGTTAACTGTTGGTACTTTGGATGGAGCCAATGTTGAAATGGCTGAAGAAATGGGCAACGAGAATATCTTTATTTTTGGTATGACTGTGGATGAGGTCGAGGCTTTACAAAAAAAAGGTAAAAAAAATAATTTTTAATGCGTTATGCAAAATGCTTATAAAGGTAGTAAACTTGATTTTTATTATTATTATTTTTTCTCCTCATTACACAGTTTCCAGGTTCTGTGATATGTTATCTGAGAAGACACCTGGTGCTTCATACCATGTACCTAGGAGGTCTCTTTTGAGATGATGGCATGTCTTACTAGATAACTTTTCGCACTATGTGAGCGGTGTTCAGCATTACTGCTCTCCGCATGCTTAGAATGTTGTGATTACCAAGAACTTCTTTGATGACTTTGCATGTATAGTTGGATACTAGTACCATAGCACCGATGATAATGGGGATAACTTTGATTTTAAGTTTCAATTTCCAAATCTTTGTATTTCACACGTTTCTTGACCTCCTTTTGAGTGATGTTGTAATCCGATGGTATTGAGATGTCAATCAAAAGACATGTTTTTTGTTTCTTGTCTTTTACAATAATATCTGGTTTATTTGCAGTTATTTTCCTTTCGGTTTGTACTTGATTATGTGTCAATGACAGGGTCAGAGATGTGATTTTTATGCTGTATGCTTTACATAATATGCTCCAGTATAGTTGTTTTGCTACAGCGTTATGGCGGTCTAAATAAGCAGGTTTGGCAAGGATAGGGCAGCCTGACACACAACGTGATGAATAGTTTCATTGTATTCCCGGCACAGTCTACAGTCAGTGCCGGTTTTCCCAATTTTTGCCTTCATGTAGTTCGTCGCGATGATTTCCTCCCTGATAAGCTGTTATGAGTGATGCCGTCTCGGCTTTCAGATTGGCGTGAGTGAGCCATTTGTAACTTTGATTTTTGTACACTGTTTCCTTTCCGGATTCAATCAAAATTTTCAATCGATTTTTCTCTCCATTTATTTATTTGTTCAGTTTTTTTCCGATTTTTCACCCAAGTATTTTTCATTCTGCTTTAATGTCAAATAATTTTGTAGGCCTTTTATTGCAGTTTTAAAGGTTGTTTTTCTATATTGGTTAGTCCCCTGCCTTCCTCTTTTCGTGGGATGTATAGTCGGTCAACGTCTGCCCTAGGGTGGAATGAGTGCTCCACAAATGATGAGTAACTTTCTAGTTTTCGAGTCTATTTTATTTATCTCTGCTTTCGTCCATTTGATTGTCCCAAAACTGTATGATAAAACGGGTATTGCTAGTGATGTAATTGCAGTGAATTTGTATTTTGCATTCAGTTGGGTTTTTAGTATTTTACGAGTACGTCGATACTATTCTTTTCTGAGAAAAGTTTTCTCAGTCTGCTTTTCATTACTCATGATGTATCCCGTCTTGTTCGTCAATGGCCAGTTATTTGTAAGTTTAATGGTGTTCAAGTGACTGTATGATGGTTGAATCATAGGGTGTAATGTTTCCTTTGACTGCAGTTTGCCTTTTTTAAAGGTTGCCTTGGGCCTTTTTTTTAGGCCAAACTCCATTTGAATGTCGTCGCTGAATCTTTTTACCAAATCGAATTGTTTGATTAGTTTCTCTTCATTTTGTTCAACCAACTTCAAGTCATCAACATACAGAAGGTGATTGATTTTCTGCTTTTCGTTTTTACATCGATAGAGCCTGTATCTATGTTGTTTAAGATTGCGCTTAAAGGAAACAGTGCAATACAAAAAAGTAATGGAGACAGAGTCACCTTGTTTGATCCCGCTTTTCATCTTTATATTCTTCACTGTGATCGTTTCCCTGTCTGTTGTTAGGTTTAAATCAGTATTCCACATGGTCATGCTTTTGCATAAGAAATTGAGCAACATCAGTGATGAACAGTATATGTTAAAAGTGTTTCAATTAGCCAGCTGTATGTGTGTGTGGAATCAAAGGCTTTTTTATTGTCTATCCAGGCTAGTGATAGATTTTTGCCCCTTTTTGTGCACTTTGTATAAATGGGTTGGCTTGTTAGTAAATGGTCTTTGCAGCCTTATGAATTTTTAATATATCCCTTTTGTTCTAGAGAGAATAGATTGTTTCGAGATGAATGTACAAGGTCTTTCCCCATATAAAGACCGCCCCACCTACAGGGGTTATGTGGAGAGATATCAAAAAATTTTAAATATAAAAGTTTTAGGGTTTTACTTGAAATTGTTGTCAAAAACTTTTTTGTTTTTTTAGAAATGTCAAACTTTGACAGATGTCAGTTTTTTCTTATGGAACACCCTATACCTTTATGACTTTATAGTTGAAAAGAGTCAATTTTTCTGATTTCAAATATACATATATGATTTAACTACTTATTTAATTGAGCCGTTTTGGAAATCTCTAAACTTTAAGAAAATAATACATTGAAACGATCGCTCTGTTCTAACCGGCATGAGAACCGTTCTAGAACGGTGATTTTCGCTTGATCAATTCATTTGTCAATAAGAATAAACATTAAATTTATTGAAAAATAGGTGGGCAACTGGAAATTATACTGTTCTGAACGGTTCTCTCTCATGTCGGTTGGAACAGAGCAGGGTCAGCATTCCCAGGTGAACGTTTTTCTCAACGTTATGCAAATGACAATATAAGTAACGAAGACAGAACACTCGTTCTCCTGGGATCGCTCTGCTCTCCTATTTCAAGAATAAGGACCCTGATGAGTTTCAATGTATTATTTTCTTGAAGTTCAGACTCCAATATTTTCAAAACGGTTCAATTAAAGGTAGTTAAACTATATACTGGGTGTTCCTAAATATCATGTACAAACGGAAAGGGGTGATTCTTTGGGTTATTTTATGACTAAAATTTCTAATAAACATAGGTCCGCAAACGCTTCGTTGCCGATGAAATTTTATTGTATTTATATTGAAAATGAGCAAGAATATGGCGGCAAGGGGTATTTTACTTTTAGATTTTTTTTGAAAATGAGCAAGAATATGGCTGCGGAACCTCCATTGGCGCCACTATAGGTAGAAACGGTTTATTGAGTCACTTTAGTTTCATCTAGCTAATAGGGTACTTGCATGGAAAATTAAATTGATTATTGTTTATTGCAAACTGTAGGAAATCGAAAAAAAATCGTTACTTTTTTTTTATTTCGCCCAAATATGATTATTCCGGAAGTTATTCAAATATTAAGTTTTGTATATATAGATATACTGAGCATGTGCAACGTCACTAATTTAATAGATAAGTGACGTCATAGGCAGATTTCAAAGTGTTGTATCTCCGTCCATTTTTGACTAAGAAGAAAAAGAAAAAACACGTGTTGACTTATTTTTCATGGACTATCGAAATCAGCAATAAAAAAATTTGATGCAAGGAGCCTATTACAGAGATTTGTTTTTTAATTTTTTTCTCGATAAGAGTCAGTGATACGAAAAAACTACAAGAGAACAAAAAGTTTCTAAATAACATATAGAAATTATTTTGTTTTTTAGAATCGACCAGCGGCGAACCGCGAAAAAGTTCAGGGGCAGAAAAGGAGGCATGACCCCTGAAAAAAATCACCCTGTAGATTTCGGCAAACGTTTGACATGTGCAATCATCCAGCTCCTATTGCCTAACCTATATTCCAAATTTGAGCTAAATCCCTCCAAAATTGCCGAAACTATAAAGAAAAAACTAAAAAAATATTAAAATTTCAACACCCTGTAGATTGGTAACGAAGCGTTTGCGGACCTATGTTCATTAGAAATTTCAGTCATAAAATAAACCAAAGAATCACCCCCTTTCGTTTGTACGTGATATTCAGGAACACCCTGTATATTTCAAATCAGAAAATTCTACTTTTTCCAACTATGAAGTCACATAGGAAAAAACTGACTATCTGTCAAAATTTGACATTTCTAAAAAAACTTAGATGTTTTTGACATAGCTTTCAAATATTTCAGGTAAAACCCCAAAACTTTTGTATTTACAATTTTTTGATATCTCTTCACATAACCCCTATAGTGGGAGGGTCAATATATGGGGAAAGACTCTGTACTGTACCGGGTGTTCAAATAAGAAAGGACGCCTGTTATATCTCAGGAACTATTAGTCCTAGAGCTTCCAAGTAAAAAATTTTTTCATAAAATAGACCATGAAAAATTGCTGGAAATAGTTTTCAAGTTTGTAAGTTGACCGCTAGGGGGCGCAACGAACACTGGAAAACATAAAACTGTGATCTTCAAAAAACGCCCACTAAAGGAATCCTAAAAATATGATTATTGAAATCTTGATGAGATTACGAAAAAATTTTGTTAAGGATTTTTTGCCCTAACTCTTCAAATAAGAGGTGGGAGAAGGTTCAAACTTGTTAGGAACAAAAGTTATACAACTTTTTTGTTTTTCAACCGATTTCAATGAATCGGGTGTCATTTGGGAGAGTTTTTTTTACCGCTAGGGGGCGCTGTGTCCAAAAGTCGACAATTTTCCATTTTTTCTCGGAAATTTCAAATATAATGATGCTTTTTTTATAGTTTAGATGGAAAGAGGATAAAAAAATAAGGACTCTGGTGAAAACCGCAAGTCTGAATCTTTGATTATGCTGTTGTAGGCTGTCGCTATGTGCTATGTCTCCATGTGTAGTTGCGAGTTTTTTCAGCCAAAAATTTCATATCTCGTCTACTCCAGGGGATTTCCAATAATTAGCGGAGGTGTTTATCGCTGTTCTGAAATCGGCTTCAGTTATGTCCTCCCATTCTATTCTTTTCAAATTCGTGGTTCTGTCATATTCATTCTGTATCTGCTGTTATACTTCCGACTCCTTTTCCCATATGTTTTTCCAGTATTTCTCGATGTTTTCTCTTGTGGGAATTTTAGACGCTTCTATCTTTTCCTTGAGTATTGTGTTGTAGAACTTGGCTGTATTTTCAGGGAATAGATTTTTCTGCTGATATTGTTCATTCCATTCACTATGTATATCTTTTTGTTCTACATTATGTTCTTGCTGAAATCTGTTGTTTGAGTTTTTCTATGATTGTTGCATGATCTTTAGCATTCTTTATTTTATGTTTATTATAGAGAACTATTTTTATCTTTTTGATTTTAGAGCTCAAGTTTGGTTTTTGAT